ATTAATTTATCTTATACGTAAGGGGCAGAAATATGCCAGCATAACGGTTGCTTCAACTCGAAGTATTTATTATCAAAATATCACAGGTTTTACAATGTTTAATAGAACATTTAAAAATGGAGCACATGGGGTCCGAAAAGGGATTGTCGAAAAAACCTCTCATTGAAAACTTATAACCTTTTATTTTAGTAAATGTTTGGTTTGCTTTATACCAAAACTGGTTATAAGCTGACTGTATATACAAAACATTGTAAATGTCCCGAAGGATAATCCGAGGGACACCAGCCATTCTGTGAGAGCCTCTGCCACTTGTAGATTCTACAAATTGACACTTTTTTGTTATACTGGGCTAGTATAAAATCTTTTATCGTTTCAATATCCATAGTAGAATACTAGTATATACCGAGAGACAAGTATCCTCGGTGACAGACTGCCCCTAGCAGAGAGAAATATAACAAATTAATGCTGTCTATTACTAAAATCTAAGTCCAGAATTTTTTTGTTTTATACGTATTTTTTCAAAGTGCGTTAACGAGGTTCGCTCATGAGCTTTTGAGCAGATTTTTATCTTGACCTATATTTAGAAAATTCTGCATTATGTTTTAATTCCCACAATAAATTTGGATTCTACAATGCCAATTTAACTATATTCAGTTAAAACTACATGATTAAATTCCATACCAAAAGCATTAAGTGAGGAACTATATTTTGTGGCGGAAGGTTTTTAAAGAAGAAAATGATCATTTTTTCTCTTTCAAAGTATTTAAACTATGCTAATTTTGGATTCCTATTTTTACATGCAGTCTGCACACATAGTTATTTTGTGCAGTAGACTGTTTTATACTGGTCCTAAATTATCTATTAAATAAAATGTCATGAATTCTATCATCATATTTGAGAAATATAGCAAATATATTGTGAAAGTGAAGGAAAAAATAGCCCTAATTTAAGCTTAAAATTAGCACTATTTTAGTAATATCTAAAAAAAAATTAACATCACAGACCCCCACTTTTAATTTTCTTTTCTGAATATATACAATACTTTTAACCATTCTTCTTAAATTCAGTAAAATGTCATTACTTTCAAATGATTTTTTTGCTTGTTAAATTTTTAATGCCAGAAAAATGAAAATGTTTGAGTGCAAAAAGGTCAAATAATTGAACATGCGGAGTAATTTGAAAATTTCTTTGTTGTCACAAATTTTAATGTGTCTATTTGAGATGAAGTAAAGACTGTTTTCGTTCCCAAAATTTATTTGAACAAAAAATATTGGAGGAAAAACTTTAAAAAATGAATTATGTGTAAGACATATTTACAGTGCAAAAAGGTCAAACTAAATGCTCTGTAGCGCCAAAAGAAGCGCATTGACCCCAAATTTTTGTTTTGAATTTTAATAAAGCTATGTGTATAAATTCCAAAAATATACTTGATAAAAAATTCTCATTACTTTTGATGGCAGGATCCAACCTCCTTAAGTGTCTCCATGGTAAAAATGTTGATGTACACTCTTAACGCACTTTGAAAAAAAAATCAAAGTGCGTTGATTTTGTCCCAAATTTAACACACTTTGAAAAAAAATTTTCAAAATGCGTTGATTTTGTCCCAATTTTAACGCACTTTGAAAATTTTTTTTCAAAGTGCGTAATTTTTTCAAAGTGCGTTGCCACAATGCTCGGTCGTTTAAAAGGAAAATGGTGAAGATAACGAACGGTGATCGACCTAAAAGAATCTATAAACAAAACAGATCTGTGAACAGGGCATGAAACACGGACCCCCCCCCCCCCCACCAGAAATTCCAGACGTGGGATCAGGTGCCTAAGAGGTGTAAGCATCCCCTGTTGACCGGTCACACCGGTGAGCACTATGAATTGATCAGGTAGACGGAATATTCCATATTCAAATTTAGTATAAAAACAAAAGCCAAATACTTGGTATGAAATATGTCAATCAAAATACGACCCAAATGATAGGTTATATTTGCTAACAAGATTGTTGAAATCTCTGTAACATCAGCCTATCTGTCAATTGTCTGCCTCGGTTTAAAAATTGATCGTACTCAAAACATTTTCTTAAGAATCGAATATGTTTTGAGACGTAAACATCATGTGCAGGTGATAGCAGAATGTAACTATAAAAATAAGGAAAGATTGACACTGGTAAAGCTGAAGTCATGTCATTTGTCATATAATTTAGTTGATAGTTGGCCCTTATCGTCTATAGTCAGTAAAAACATCCAAATATGAAACAGATGTGGTAGAATATGTGGTATCTTTCAATTCAAGTTCACTGACAAACGATATGAAGACAAAACGACGATGTTCGGTTGTCCCAATGTGGGAACTAGCTTAAAGTGGAATCCTTGTAGAATGTCAGTATATCAGCTATCACAGTTTAAAACTTTTGTATACATTTTGACGAATTTATGATAGTTTGCATTTCTATCGCAAAGTCTCTGTTAAGTTTTAACGCTTCGACAAAAAGGTAACAGATAATGATAACAAAGAATCAAGTTAATATATACTAGTATGTTGAATAATAACTTATTGCTAAAATGAATCTTCCATCAATAGTACTATAACAGAAAAATAATATTATTTTTATTATTATTTTCCCTCATCAACTTACCCTAACAATTGATAAACTAATTAATCAACTGTGATTCTAAATCTAATGTAAACTTTATAAAACAGAGACTTTTGAATCCATTCATAACGTTCGAAATTTTGCAGCTTTTTTCTGGAACAGCTGAAAAATTTCAACCAATTTTAGCACATAGCATCTTTTGGTAGAGGAAAAAATGTGAGTTGTAATGAGTACTTGTGCATTGTAATGAGTATTGAATCCTTTTACCGAAATTGTGAAGAGATGAGCGAAAAATTCTCGAACGGGACGTAAACCAACAATCAATCAATCTTAAAATTCAAAGTTAATTGAAAATGTAAGTATCCGTACAATATTGTGATTTGTAGAACAGAATTGCAGTAGACTTTATGCAAACATTTGAAGGTGCAATTGAACTTAGGCTTGGTCTTGGAAATGAAGACCTGTTAAAGGAATGTGTGCATAATGCATAGCTCTGCATGACCAAAGATTAAGAAGGTGATAGTAATATGTTTAGCCAAGCCTTTTAATCAAAAATTAAAAGGTAGTGCACACCTATGTATAACTAGATATCTATGACAAATTGTGGATTAAATTTAAATACTGAAAACAAGATAAATTTACATAATTTTTTTTTGGTATTCTCTTATTTGGAAATGATAGATGAAGTTTTTAAACTTGTTATTTATTACTTATATATACATTTGAGACGGACAATCGAATGCAATCGAATATAAATATTGCACTAACTGTACGTCGTAGATTTCGACAAATTACGCTAGGTGTAAATCGGCTTGAAAAGCGGTTACGCTTCAAATTCACCTGACAAAGGATTGTTTTGAAGGGAATATTCTGTGAAAGGCTACTTGTGATCAATTATTATAGTGAGCATGTGTCTGGGATTTTTTGTATACATGAGAACCCATATTCGATGTTAAAAAACACAAGAAACACGTCCGATGTTTGATACTAAAAAGTTGGAGGAATTGCGGTCGGAAAGGGATGGATGGAGACACTTGTCCGGACCAGATAACTTGAAATCAAGTACAAAATTTGATCAAAAACATAAAATCTACGATTTCAGTAAGGCATATTTATTAATTTATGATGTTGACATGGAGACACTGGCGACAGCTTACATTGTTAAGACAACGTCACAACGATCTCAATGATGGAGGTGTGCCTACCGAACTTCCAAAGTGCAGTGTTTGTCAGCTGTCTGTGGCGTGATTGCATTACATTGATATTTTCCAACAGATTTTCAAATATATTGTGCGTAAAGTTTAATGGAAAAAAAATTATAGCATTCAGAGGTCTGCGAGAAAAATAAGAGTAAACGTTGAGACTATGCAGCTCGGATATGAAACTTATAACACGTAGTCTTCTATTCTCTATGTAAAATCGATCAAGAACTGTATTAAATACTCGTTTACATTGTAAATAAAATGATTATTATTTTACTTGCGTATTTTGTACATTTTTATGCATGAAAAACATGCTATATTGCTTAGTGGAGTAAGTCTTTTTATGTAGATATTACTGCGCTGTGTGATTAGGTCACGTAATGACCTATGACCTTCGAAAAACTTCATACAGGTATGAAGTTATTTGCTCTCTGCATGTTTATATAATAGAGAGATACCACAAATGTATATATTCAAAATTAAACAAAATGTATATACTGTGTCGTCTTTTTTAAAAAAAAAAATCACGGTAAAATCCCAATAGTTTGTGACGTCATGAAGACAAAAATATCAATTATTTTTCTCCAACCCATAATATATTTTGTTTCTTCAGATTTTTTTTTACAACAAATATATACAATAACACACATTTCAAATAATTTTCAAACTTAAACCATAATGGGGGCAGGAGTACGCGTTTACTGAATATAGTTCTTAACTATAAATGAAAAAATACATTTGTAACAAATTTTACGTGTCCATTAGTCATTTGTAAAATCAATGTTAAAAAAAACTATGGATTAAATATGAAAACATTTTTTTCTGAAGTAAAATTACAAGATCCATCGATTTTAGCGGTAATAACTAAAGAATCCTTTATTTTATTGCAGCTGAACGTGGGTTTATATTAATTATCTACTCAATTTACTGAATTTATTTACTATCTAATTTTATCTCGTATCTAGAATAGGAGCGGTATCTTCACTTCCCAAGAGGAGTCAATCGACTGCATTTCAAAGAGAATGAAAAGAACTTTCCCCAGTGAATATTAATTACACAGATATCGACTACTTACATCGATTTTAATTGTATTTTTTCACTGACCGAACAACTGAAAACAAAAGTCCATTTTTTATTACATATTTATAGATATTGTCATTGGGAAAAATAATCTCATTGATGAAATCTAATTTCTGTGGCATGACGTTTGCCAATTTTGTATTTAAAATCATCCTTTTGAATAACAGATTACGGCACATTATTCGTTAAGGTAAGTAGTGAAAATGATGTAAAAAAGTGCATATTTCAAAGAAAAATAAGGTAATCCTACCAACAGGGGATTTCAAAGTGTAAACTTCTCGGAAAAAAGAGAATTTGAGGTTGTAATTCATGAACCAGTTCTTAATGTTTACTGAAGCCTCAGTATACATTTTATAAAGAGATTACTGGAACTATATGTTAGTTAGGCAATTGGAGATTTATCATTCTTTTTTTAATGTAATCATAACAAATACTTTTCACCTTTTCAAGGTGAAAGAAGATTTGAAATATAGATTTATATATTGGAGTACGTGTGATTTCCTCGGTTAGTATCCTTTATTAAGGAGAAGATTTATCAGACTTCTAATTTTTTACCGAATAGGGAATTGAAAAGTCTTCCAGATATGACTTTACACTTTACAGAACTTCTGGCAGTTTTTTGTGGATTTCTTCTAATTTGTAATGCCAAGAAATTATCGCCCTTAGAGATGGCCATAAGAAGGTAAGCATATTCATATACATGTACATCATATCTGCGCTATTTTTATTTTTCTATGTTTAGGTAGGGGTTTGCGTAAATATGCAAATTCAATTGATATATTCATTGCTGATAGAGCGAAAATTTAACGTTATAAAACTGATTGTCAGTGTGCATGTTGTTGGATTCGAAGATCTTGCTTGACTTTTATCACTTAACTTCAGATTTTACCTGTTTCTTTTTTTTGCTACATAACTGTTGTTACTGGAACAGAGGATGTATGACAAAAAATCTGGCAGTAAGAAATAACAGATAACTGTTAGAGATACTATAAAAGTCTGAGCCACATAAGTGTCTTCACCACATTTTAAACGGTATCAAATAAATTTTGAACTTGTTTGCAAAGAAAATTAAGCATTTAAGTTTCTTCATTTCCAAAACAGTTTCAGCCAGAATGGTCACACAATTTAATAGTATAACCACAGGCACTGGGGGGGGGGGGGGGAGCTGGACCCCCTTTCCATTTTATTTCTTTTTAAATCTGGGATCGACAAACCTTTTTCTTATTTTTTTTTTTATCAATATGCACTTTATGTTATCGATAAAATCATTTTGTCTCAGTAACCTATTTTTAAATATATATAATTTTCGACTGATACATAAAAAGAGAGTGTATCAGATCCCAGATTTAAAAAGTCCACAAAAAAGATTCTTTACAAGGTAAATTTCTGCCACTGTTGTGAATTGCGAGAGGGAGTTAAATTGTCATTACTTGAAGAGATTTTCCGTGTGACGTGATACATTACTACTGTACATTATTATGTTATTGACGGCAAGCAACGGAAAATCAGAAATAATGATGGACCCCTTTCTGAAGTGGGGGACATTTTTTGTTATGTAAAATCCCTGTAGACTTTGGATTTGCTGATGTAGCAATATACGAGTTGAACTCAAGGGCTCCTATCAAAGGAGAAAGTTTGGGGAAAAGATCTATTGATCGAACCTTGGTTGAAGGCCCAAGTACTAATGTAATTTGAAATATAAAAAGTGATGTCCTTGGTACCATGGGATAGACTATAAACCATTTATTAACAAAAGAAAGTAATATTCTCCTTAAATTAAAAATCTGACCAATTTGCAATTAAAGTATATATTAAAAAAGCATACTGCAAGTTCTTTGAATTCCTTTTTAATTGAATTGATCGAATATCAAGGTATTCTTTAAATTGATATCATATGCTAAGTGATGTTTTCTACTTTTCTACATGTACTTCTAAAACTGTTACAAATCTGTGGAGGTCAGTGAAGAGTTTTTGATTTTTTAAATGTATAATCTTACCATAAATACAAGGGTTTATTAAAAAGTTCGTGGACTGGCGCCATAAAATTAAAGTGTTTCAGGTAAATAATTAATTTTCACATTTTTAGTTAGCATTACATGTATCTTTTCTATAAGTTCTCTTAAAAAACTGAATTCTTCCTTTATTGATTAATTAGATTTTTCTCAGATTGGATTAATTACAGTAATCAACAATGAGAAAATAAACATTTTTTCATAAGATTTAAATGTGCTTTTTCAAATTAAAAAAAGGGTGTAAATCTGAAGTCTGACGAGTGACGTAGGGTAAGCCTCCACTCAAAAATAGAGAAAACCCATAACCTGATCCTATTTAAGTAAAAGTCAGTAAAAGCCAAAGTTTTTTCTGCATTGTACAAAAGGAAAAAGCTATTTTTTGAACTAAATTTATTTCAAAGAAGATGGGCGAACATGGCAAGCGCAATGCCTATAGTGCAAGAAACATGAAGGTGAAAAATTAAATCTCAATTGTAACAAAATTTCCTTTGATATTTCATCTAAAAGCAAAGTATACTTTATGTAATAATCTCTCCACAATTCGCAAAAATCTCACTAAGATTGAAATTATTTGTCTATGAAATAGCATACACATACTAGATAGGGCAAAAGGGATCATTTTCTCATACTAAAACACAATTTTCGATATGAGTGAATCTTCGCTCCATATTTTTCAAAGCCTATCCTCAAAGTTTGCTAAAAAATATACATTATTTGGTCAACAAAAACATGGAGCAAAGACCCACTATACGTTAAAAGTACATTTATATGACAAAACATTCGCATCTTTCCGAGAAAAACTTTAAGTCCATTTAGTAAAAGGTCATATCGCAAACATGATTTAAATGGCACAATTCGTCAAGAACTGTGTAGCGTAGTCGTTGGCGTGTTAGACTCAAAGGAAAATGACTAAGAATTTTTATTGCTAGGGTTCGAACCCCACGAATATCACATTATTTTTTTTTAAATATAACAGAATAATTTTTGCCGACAAACTTTTCCTCAGAAAAGTTTTGTTTATCATAATTTCATAAATTTCAATATTGAGAACTTAACGCTGAATACTAAATTCACAAATTGAATATGATTTTTATATATCTGAAGCTATAGGCATTCTGTGTGCCTTGTTCGCCCATCTCCTTTCGCTTTAACAAAAATTTATAAATCCATTCAAAAACCTATACATATATAATTGTTATTTCCCAGTTTATTCTTAAAATTCATAACGTACTCACATATAAATTGGTTTATTGAGCACATTACTGTAGAGGTATTTTGTTGTTTTTTTTCTTAATTTTAAAATCAAGGAAGTCATGTTCTTCATCTTTGTCGTGCTACGAAATATAACCGCAGAGCACCATCAATCATCCCCTCCCCCCAGATCTAATTTAAAAATAGATCAAAAGATAATATGGAAACTTTTGTACCTCAAAGGTAGTAAAGTTTTAGATTTATTGCATATTATAAAAACTGTTAAGAAATAGGTGTAGACGAATATATCAAACACCTCATGGGACTTATTTCATTTTATGATACATTATTTCACTCGTAGTTCAGAAGATTTTCAATAAATATTTTCCAGGACCCATTCAAAATTTTCACACGTTTTTGTGATATAAGGTTATTTGACATTATTTTGATATAAATGCATTTGAAATGCTTTAGCGTATACAAATACAATATTTTAAATCATTTTCCATTCGCTTTACGCAAATTTTATTTTTTTCTTTAATACCCACCTTAAGAATTTACACATTGCACGATCACATTGAAAAATTGTTCGCAACTCCTAAGAAAATTACAAATCTCAGTGGGAAAGTTGTTTATCAAATGCAATCTATTTAAAGATTTAACCGTTTTTGTCTTGAGGATGAAAATCAATTTTACTTCGTTGATTTCTCGCAATAAGCACCGATTTTAATTTGTAAGTGTCCGTAATCTTATTTTCCTCTTTGCTATTTAGACTATTTGTCAGTCAACAACTGATAAAAAGGACAACGTTTTTCTCTCTATGTGAGTTCTGACCCCGTAATCAGATGTATCTACACTGTCATATTGCCGTATCCGGATAATTGTAAAACTTTATACAGTAGGTGGTACTTAGTAGCACTGAAAATACCAATCTCACAACAAAAGCAACCTCTCCATATAGCTTTGATTCCCTGGCCAATGTGAAAACGTGACTGTGTGGATTGATGAATATTTTCTTGGTACTAACTTGATTAGTAAACCTCATATCCATCCAAATCCTACAGTCATAAGTCCCCTGAAGTATATTAAATGTACACTGTATTTACAACCAGATCATTCTCTAAAAAGTTAATATATTAAAGGAACTCTAGCATCTTAATATCGGCCAATCCATGATTTTATCGCACAATAAAGAGTTTCCTTTAAGGTCGATATTGTGTTCTTGGTGTAGCAATAAAATCTAGCCTCGACCTCTTCAAGATGCTATAATTTTCGGCAACCAAAAGGAAAGTCGTGCCAAACTGAGAAATAAGAGCAAGAAAACTTTTTTGACTGATCTTTCTTCAAAATCGTTCGAAATTAATCTAAGCAGGTGTTGAATACCACAAAATGCCACAGAGAATTAAAAAAAAAGATGTAAAGATCTCTCAACAAATACAAATAACTTTACAACAGTTGACAGTTATTTTCCACTTATTAAGGTATTTTATATTTAGCAGTCACATAAACTGTTTTATTATAATTACATATAGAAATTGAAAAGACAACAATAATACTTAATGTCATACATGTAGTATTCATGACAAAATACATGTACATGATCATGAAAAAGGGCTTTGAAAAGACGATAATGGATAAATGACATCATCGTGTTCATGAAAAAATACATGTACATGGAAAAGACAATTAAAAGAAAATGATGATATTGAAAAGAAACAATAATATTACATAAATGACATCATTCTATTCAAGACAAATGCATGGCTTGGCTAGAGAAAATTAATCAGTTATATTTCTTGCTTGTTACGCAAGTCCAGAAGAAGAATTCATGCCTATGAGATTTCCCGATCAATACCAGTTAACACATTAAACAACTTTTCAAGTTTAGAAAATAAACCTTAGAGCAATGACTTAAATAGCAACCTAATTTTTGCTGTCGCTTTATTTACATTGTGTTACTCTTTTTGTAAGTTTTCATTAGCTTCATTATCCACTCATCACGATTTACATAAACAATGATTAAAGGAAGATAAAAAAAAGAATTTATTTCAGGAAAGAAATCAAGCCAACAGATTCAAAAAGGTTTATGTGTACATGTTTCAAGATATCGAATGGTTTCACAAAAAATCGATTATAAACTTTAGAGCTGAACCTTTGAAACATATTCTTTCAATACATTCAATATAACTTAGGTTACATAAGCATAGGGTTCACCTCTAAGCGAGCAAATATTTTTTGTCAGGGGTTATCATCTGACGTTTATTCAACAATAAGCATACATATTTTTATTTTTGAAAAGTAACACGTTAACACATGAAGTAAAGATATAATTATTCATCATTCAAGATAATGATTTCAAGTGAAATAAACATTTCTCCAATATCATGTATCACATTTCCATTTTCTTTTATTTTAGCAATCTTCCAGATGGTCAGTCCTTCAAGATGTTTCTGGAGGTTTGTGAGGCTTGTGGGGAACTCTATGGATCAGCCCTAACACACTTCTGCTTGATCGAACGTTCTCTTAACACATATGCCAACTGCCTATTAGCCGTGGGATTTAAACGTTAATAGGATTGTTGGATTAACAACTCAAAACCTGCTAGTCATTAAAGACACAGGCCAAATACCAAAATCAATTATTTAAATGGAATTTAACATTTCTTAATCTTTACATGAAATAAAAAAATGGTTACTTATTCTTGGTCAGTCTGTACAAATTCAAACTTCTTAAGAAAATTAATGTAGAAAAAGACAGTATTGTAATAAATTCAAAGACTGTAAAATCAAATAATCAAGCATAAAGATTGCTCACTAAATGCATCGTTATTTGTTTTAACAATAAAAGCATTTTGAAAAGGATGTGTGTGATTCTATTTTTACATTTCTCTAAGAACAAAACTCAGTACAAAAAGGGATAAAACAAATATAATATCAGTCTTAAGTGCTGAAGCATTGTCACCAAAAATAACCCCGCCAGTCGCAGCATGATCACAGCTACAGTGACTGAAGATTTTAAATTCTGGAATTTCCGCACAGGTTTCGTTTCTTAGGTTCTCCAGTACACACTTGTCTCCGTACCCAACAACACCAAGGTCGTTGGCACATACCTGGCATTCCACATCATTGCTACCTAATGGTACTGTCCAGTTTTGTAGCCCACAAGTTTGTGAAACTTCGTTAACAAAATCATATGTTGCATTGAATGAAATAGTCTCCAAAGGGTTCTTTTCATGCCATTCAAAATTCCCGTTGTCCAGTCTACGAAGACCGACAACGGATATCTCACCTTTCAGGACTTGCTCCTTCGTACCGGAACATCCGTTCCTAGGATAAATGTTTTCTATGACAATTTCAGATTTCACTTCGATATTATCATTTCTTAGGACGCATTTCACTTCGTATAAAGCATGGTATGACTCAATAGAGCTGTCATTATGTGCAATGTAGCCAAAGATGGTACCAAGAACGACAACTGGGGAAATACTCAGTCTTTGTACAGCAAGTGTCGGTTGCCACATCGTCACTTTGCAAGCTTTTTCTTTTTCATTTGCCTCTGTGACTTCAAGAATCATTATAACCAAGGTAAAGAAGATACGGCTTCTGAAGAATTTCATCCTTGTAATTATAAACTCATTCACATTTTATAACCCAAACATCAATTCAGAACCTGTTAATACACATAGGGTATAGAAATCAGCGTGTTAAATCACTTAGTTTTCATTTTAGGTTGTATTAAGGTCAAGTTTAAAGGAAATTATACAAAGCGGATTAAATGAGCATTTAAACATTTTCAATTTTTGCCCTTTATAAATGCCAGGTGAAAGTCTTAATTCCATAATTATCAAATCTGATATGTCATTTTTACACACATTGCAGGTTAATAACATGGGCACTAAGTTTTGATGGAAACTATGGAAAAAAAACTTTTACGTGTAAATACATGTAATACTCCTGAAGTAATGAAACAAATGTTCACAATGGAAAAGTACTTTATTGAACATTTAGCTTTAGGCACAATCTGTAAATCCAAAAACTACATCCAAGATATAACATAATCTAACATTGCTGCATGACAAAGATCTTATGTGACATAAATACTGGAATCCACTAATGTCATTTAACACAATGAGCATAAAAGTATTTAGAGCGATAACTTTGGAATCTATAGCCAATTTTTGTGAATTTCTAAGGTTGATGGAGACCTAATTTTGTGGGCCAAAAAAAAAATTAAAAGAAAATACTGTTTTCAGATCGACATTTGTTGAAGTTGTCAATTCACTGGTAAAGGGTATCACTGTAGGGTTCGAGGGCAGCATGCGTTTTGTCGGAGCCAAGAACCAAACTGAAGGCAAACTATGGAAAGCCATAGGGGACCCCCAGGGTCAGGGTCTATATAATCTATAGTTTTAACCCTGGCCACCCATGATTTCTACCCTGGCCTTCCCATGTTTGAAGCCATAGGGGACCCCCAGGGTCAGGGTCTATATAATCTATAGTTTTAACCCTGGCCACCCATGATTTCTACCCTGGCCTTCCCATGTTTGCATCATGGACACCCCACGCTTTATCATCATGGCCTAGCCGTGTACAACCTGGCCGATCCATGTTTGCAGCATGGCCATCCCATCTAGTCATGTTTACCCCGACCATACACAGCCTAGCCCGGCCATGTACTACCCTGGCCAAGCCATGTTCGCACCATGCCTATCCCACGCTTCTAAACATGGCCTGGCCGTCTTCACCCTGGCCATGTATATTATCATGCATCTTGCATTCGACGATTAGCTATCCTGGCAAGCCATGTTCAACCTGGTCTTGCATAATATCTTGGCGTGGCCATGTTCACCCTAACCCTCTACCATACATAGCCTAGCCTGGCCATTTTGCTCGCGTACCCTGGCCGTATACATCCTGGCCTGGCCATGATAACCCTAGCCATGTACACCCTCAACCCTATACATTGCCAAGATTTCGAGTGACCTCGATCATTAATTCCCAAGCTGCTACGAGATGAACGGCCAAGATTTCAAAAGATCGAGATTTGGCCGGCCAAGATTTCAAGAGATCGAGATTTGGCCAAGATTTCTAAGGACGCAGATGCGGTGTGGTCATTACATTCAAATTGATGTAGGTCTGAGTCGTGATCATTACGTTTGATGTAAGCAGGGACCTATATACGCAAACAGTTTAGTTCGAGGGGTCGACAAAACGCATTTTGTCCAAGATCACAGTTAATAATTGTTTTGTTATACCTTTTTTGACATACATGCTGGCTTCCATGATGTAAATTTCCTTTAACACCAACGAATGCAAGTAAGATTTAGCTGATCCCGCCCACATGTACAGTGTGAAGTAAGCGGTCCAATATCTCATCGACAGGTCCAATATCTCATTTTTGCTGTCAAACATCGATTTTTCTTATGACTGCCCAGTAAAACATTCGAAATGTTAATCTTTTCTGTATACATTTATATAGAAACTAATTCTTAAAGGTATACCAATATTATTTGATTGACATTCGGCAGGAATGTGGGAGCCTTTGAAAAGTGAAATTTTTATTGTTCTTTCAAATGAAATTTTAGCATTCTCTTGGTGTATCGGGTTCCTTTGAAATGGGAAAGGGAAATATTTTCCCGTTTATTGTATTTTGATTTGCTAAAAATAACTTGAAATATGGCTATATGAATCATTTTATATAAAATGATACATTTTTAAACACGATTTAATATAAAAAAAAAATTGCGATCTCTGGGTCATCTCTCAATGATATTAAAACGTTATTTGTGTACATTTTATTTCAAAGAAAAGAGCTAATATTTTTAAAAAATGGAGAGAAGACCCAGAACGTTAAAAAATGAACTTTTTTCCAAAAGATTGATTGATTGTTGTTTAGCGTCCCTCTTGAGAATTTTTTTTTTCATATGGAGACGATACCACTTGCCGGTGGGGGACTACAAATTTTGACCTATACTCGGCACTTAGGGCCATTGAGCGGTGAGGGATCTTGTTCGTGCCAACACCTACTGCGACACGGGACCTCGGTTTATACGGTCTCATCCGAAGGACCGGTCACCATCTTCACGTGTCGCAGTGGGATTCGAACCCGCGACGTAAGGATCAACTCCTTACTCCGCGACTCTAAAGCAGACGCTCTAACCACTGCGCCACGCCGACGATTTTCCAAAAGAAAATCTCACTGTATGAATGCGGTGCTTCATTGTCGTTTTAAAATCAATATTTGTGTATAATTGCTAGCTCAATAGTACACGTTACCAGTTCAAAAAGATTTTTTTTTTTAAATGCGTTACCAGTCCAAAACACTCAGGGCCGAGAAGTTTTTGGTTCAATCCTCGCATGGAGCGTTAATTATTTTTTTTATGCAAACAATCAAGTCGTTTGTCAGTTTAGTTATATTTGCCGATTCATTAAAATTTTATAATAGATAAATTTTGGTTCAGTGGCACCGAGAGCGAAAGCAACTGAAACTTAAATGAATTGCATTTAACTATACCCTATTATCTTATTGGTGTTTATTAAGTATGGAAAGTGTACAATATGTAATTATGTTATCGTAAATATTTAGATAAGCGGACTTAAAATTACAATTTGAAAAAGTATTTCAATGTAAATATAACATTTTTCCTATGTGCGTAACTCTGAAAATTTCTCCAGCTGTGGTCAGCCGGTTAAATTGTTGACATTTAAGCTATAAAATGTTTCGTTTACATCACATGCCAAATACTCCAATCTTCTTTAAGAAAATTAAATCCCACTTAATATACTGATCCCCGTGTAATTTATGTTGAGTAATTCAATAAGGTTCAAACATTTTGATTTCAAAGATTTTAATTTTTACTAGATAAAAGTAATGAAAGTTTTTTAATTGTTGTTTGAACATAAATTTCTGAAGTATTAAGCAGCCAATTAATTGTTACACAAATTGTCTTTATAAAAAATCGGAGAAAACATTTTGTCCAAAAAATCACCATAATTTAAAAAAGTACAACAGAATCTGACGTTTGATTCTTTTAATACATGTTTGGTCTTGAAAGCGTGAGAAAAACAACAACAACAACAACAACAACAACAACAACAAAAAAACAAAAAACAAAAAACAAAAAAAAAAACGTTGATTAAATAATGATTGTTTTTCGTACATGTACCAGACTTTGTTCTCACGGAACAAATATCCATATACATTAAGTAAAAGATATGCGAAAAATAGTGTGTTGTTATTGCAGGATGAAGAAATTGTCGGGCTTTGATATTTTAAAACTGTTCATGTCTTAAATACATGTACATCTAATTTATTTTCATAACGATGCAAATTGAAAGCAGAATAAACAAGGAACCCTAAAAAAACGCAAGTTGTGTTTTTAGGTGCCATGAAGGAGTAGGTTATCGTTGTCGATTGGCCATCCACCTTGAGCTCTTTGTCTGGATCGGGTAATCGGATTAATCCATATACAAATTAATAGCTTAACAATTTCTATGAAAAACGTCAGTCAACATTCGACCAAAAGATAACTTATTTGTAAACAAGGCTATTGTACGAATGAAAAAGGTGACGATAAAGAATAGTTTTTGAGAATCCATATCTGAATTGCACTAGGAATATAGGGGTTTAGATGAGCTTCAATGTCTCTCTCTCTCTCTCTCTCTATATATATATATATAAAGGTCTGACAATACGTTCCTTGGATATCTGATCTATATATATCATTGTTAGCAGAGTATTTCCCGAGGACAGTAACCACTTAAGAGTCACGTAAAGGATCCTTTAAAGTTTTATAAAGTATGGTAAGTAGTTACTGAGAATATTAATTTCATTTTTTTCATTATTTCGTCTCTTTCTTTTTCCATGGTACCTGTAGCCAATAGTAAAATTCAAAATGTGGAAAGTACAAGTGCAGTTGATGATTTCTGGCAAGGGAAAGGTTTATTTAACTGGGGACTTAAATGCTAGATGTGGTAATTTAGATGATTTTATAAGGAACGATATGATAAATAAATCGGTATCAGATAATATGCAAGTTTTTACTGATTACGATTTAGATACAAACGAGTCTACAAGAAATAATATTGATAGTTTTGTGAATAACTTTGGTAGAAAACTGACAGACTTGTGTAAAACCACGGGCATGCGAATTATTAATGGAAGACATAAAAATGATCTACATGGGGGTATCACTTTTTATGGTGCAAATGGTATGAGTACCATTGATTACCTAATAACAAATAGTGAAAACGCTAGTAATATTGTAGATTTTACTTTAGGAGATTTTACTGTTTTTTCAGACCATGCACCCATTATTTTTTCTCTAAATGGGTCATACAAAGAAAGTGATGTTGTTTGTGATCAAGAGCAGTCAGGTAGAACGGTTTTTAAATCAGTAAAATGGGTAGAAGAAAATGTAACACAGATAAATACTACTCTCAGTAATAACTATGACTTACTTTCTAATTGTCTGTTTCATTCGTTTGATAGCACAGAGGAAGTAAATCAATGTGTAGAAAATTTTAGTAAAACTTTATGTGATTTAATACTACCATACTGTAAAATTATACAGAGTAATAGCTCTATTTCTGTGAATAGAAATATTAATTCATTACAAAATGAAGATAAACCATGGTTTAATGAAGAGTGTAAGTCAAAGTACATAGAATATAAAACAGCTCTAAACCATTTTAATAAACAGAAATCTACTGATAATAGATTGCTATTACTTAATAAAAAATCGGCATACAAAAAAATTATGAAAAAATGTAAACACAGTTATGAGAGACATCAAGGTAATAAAATCGAGTATATCCGGAAGTACAATTCTAAAAAATTTTACAAATTGTTTGAACGTAAGAAAGGGCAAATAAGTTCAGATTTATCTGCTAATGATTTCTTAGAACATTTCAAAAACTTGCTTGAAGGTAATACAGAAAGCAGTAGGAATAATGAATTTAATCACATAGAGACACAACCATCAGTATACTGTGAATTAGATCAGGAAATCACGGAACAGGAAATCGAATATGCTATTGATAAATTAAAGCATGATAAAAGTAATGCAGAAGATTGCATGATTAACGAATTCTTTATACATTGTAAACAAATACTCATGCCTATTTTATGCATGTTATTCAACAAAATATTTACATCAGGCCATTATCCAGAGAGCTGGTCTACTGGGTGTATAGTGCCAGTATTTAAGAAAGGGGATACAAATAATCCTAATAATTATAGAGGAATTACACTTGTTAGTTGCATGGCCAAATTATTTACAAGCATATTGAATAATAGACTAATGCATTGGGACAAAGAATATAACATAATTACAGATGCACAATTTGGATTCAAGCCGGGTGCAAGTACCATTGATGCAATATTTGTACTACAGACGCTAGTTAACAAATTTTTAAGGAACAAAAGGAAACTTTATTGTTGTTTTGTGGATTATCAAAAAGCCTTCGATTATATCAATAGACTTAACTTGTGGCTTAAAATTAGTTCTCAGGGTATTCAAGGGAAATTACTTTGTATTATTAAGTCTTTATATGATAATATCAAGGCATGTGTAAAATATAATGGCTTACTTACAGAGTATTTTGAAATTACGTCTGGTGTGTTACAAGGAGAAATTTTATCACCATTGTTATTTTCTATGTATTTGAATGACTTTGAACGTCACTTTATTACAAATAATTGTCCATCAATTGAACTTCAGATGTTAAATATATTTTTACTGATGTATGCAGATGATACTGTTTTAATATCTGACTCTGCTGATGGTTTACAAAGAATGTTGGATGCATTGTATACATACACCACAGAGTGGAATTTAACTGTAAATGTTGAAAAAACAAAAATATTAATTTTTCGCAATAGTCGTAAAATCCTTGAAAATGAACGTTGGATATACAACGGTTGCATTGTTGAAGTTGTTAATCAATTTAATTATCTAGGAATGTTGTTCAATTATAATGGCAAATTTGCTGAAACACAGAAACATTTTTCATGTCAGGGTAAAAAAGCTATGTATGGTGTAAACAGTAAAACTAGGGATTTGCATTTTAACGTAGAAACACAATTAGCAGTATTCGATACCTATATTAACAGTGTAATGAGTTATGGAGCTGAAGTGTGGGGATTTCACAAGGGTCAAGATATAGAAAATGTTCACTTAACTTATTGTAAAAGAGTTTTAAAAGTCAGACAAAGCACCAGTAATGATGCAGTTTATTGTGAATTAGGTAGATTTCCACTTATACTAGAAAGGAAAAAGAAAATTTTGAAATATTGGGTGAAATTAAAAAACAGTGATAATTGTATTTTACAATCATGTTATCAAGATATGGTGGAAAATAATGATGAATGGATTGTAAACATTAAGAAGGAATTTCAAAGGCTTGGTTTAACTGACATGTATAATAGCAATTGTATTGATAATAATTCTTTGAACATCGTATTTCAAAGAATGTATGACGGTTATAAACAAGATATTATGGCAAGAATTTGTAATTCTCCTAAATATTTTTTATATCAACATGTAGTGGATAATGTTGTACTACAGACGTATTTAAGAAAACCATTACATTCAAAGTATAGAATACCTATTAGTCGTTTAAGACTATCAGCGCATGATTTAAAGATAGAGAGGGGAAGGTATTGTAACATAGAAAGAAAAGATAGAAAATGTGAAATATGTATATCAAATGAGATAGAGGACGAATTTCACTTTGTATTAAAATGTCCTCGATATGAAGAACTAAGAATTAAATATATCAAGAGTTATTATTTTAAAAAACCATCAGTTTTTAAATTAGTACAGTTACTGAGTTCCACAAATACTAAAGAACTATGTAACCTAGGTAAATTTCTGTATTTTTCTTATCAATTAAGAAATGATGTTTTAAATAGTGTACAGTAAGAAATGATAATACATTAAATGCTATTGTTTATGTAATTGCCACATGTAATGTATATTGTATAGCATATACTACACTTATCCTGTGCAAAGCTTATGTATAAATATTTATGTACATATTTTGTATACCTATGAGATGTAATGTCTCTGGTTCAAATAAAACAAACAAACAAACAATAATTTCTGTAAAGATTCGTAAGATTGTTACAACAATCTGCGAGAACATTTGATAGGTCTAGAAATAACAATATCTCGCCCGACTTCGTTAGGGATGTCATAAAATTCTTATTATCTTGTGATTTTCAAACTGTTTTCAAAATGTTTTAAAAATATAAATCCTTAAAATTGTGATATCAGCAATTAAAGTTATATCCACTAGGATTATATAAGAACAATCGGCCTCTAGTATCCTGCATAAATGTCTGCTAATGTTAATCAATTTTCTTTTCTGAAGAAACTTGTTATTAAAGTACATGTAGCAAAACTTTAATCATTAGGTCCTAGAAAAAATATATATATTATTGAGGAGTGTCGCCCGACCTTCAGCATGAAACTGACATTAACATTCATTGGGTAATTTAAGGAATCAAATTGATAGTGTAATATTCATGCTTTATGCATTTCTAAAAATAATTAATAACAATGTATTATTTTATGAAAACTTGGTCGTGTCACTAATAGGACACATTAATAAGTTATGGAAGATATGAGGCATCATGCAATATACCAGTAAGTTGCAATTTTTTATCAAAAACACAAAGAGATTGACAAGTTTTTATTTCTGCCAACTGAGCGATTTTTGACAATAAATGACATAAACCTACCAGTACATGTAAAGCATGTAGGAAGACATCTTATGAGATTATTTAAGAATTTTTGTCGCTCTCATTAGATCTGATAAAAGTGTCCTCAGTGCTCTAGTTTTTGACGCGAATACCTCTGGATAAGCAGTATTAAAAGTTGCATCACGTGCCGGGGTTTTTCCACAAGAATCTACACAGGCTAGGCAGCAGTTCCATCCTATAGTTTTGTCGGCAACGTTGGAGGGTTTCTTGCAGTACTTATCGCAGCCATTTTTAGCCTGTATCTTTGTATTGCAGTTTGAGTCCATATAAACATCTTCATAATTTTTATAATTTCCCCATGGACAACCTTGCAAGAAAAAAAGGAAACGTATTAGTTCTATGGTGTTTGATGATAAAATTTAACACACAACTACCAAGGTTCGTTCAACCTTATACCTTTGTTCAGGAGTTATATATGATTTTTTTTTTATAATAGTGCTGTTAATGATTCAGTTGATGATCCAGGATTTTTTTTCCAAGAAAAAAAATTGAGTTCCTGTTTCACTGGAAGAATAAATTCACAGTGTACGCGTATTTTTGGAGGGGATGGTGTAGAACAAAGAAACGAAATCCAGAATGGGAACTAAAGTATTCATTTTTTGCGTATGGTAAAGCATAAGGGAGTAGTTACCTCTGGTGTGCCATTGGAAGAGAAATACAGCTCAGGAAAGAGAAGGTATTTAGAGTTTCTCTGAAGCATTACTATCTATGTTTAAAATTTTCAAAGTTTAAATCCAGAGCTATAAAATTTAAGTACCTGTCATGTTAAAATGTAAATGTGAGTAACATATGTTAAAATTTTGGTGTGTATGAGCATGATACATGAGACCGACATGGGGGTATGTTATTGTTGCATTTGTGTTATTTCCTTTAGATGAAAACTGTATATAGTGGCTAGTCGACCCAAATAAAAAAAAAGAGTTATCGCTCTTTTGGCAATCCATCTTTTTTTTTTATTATTTCAATAATGAAGAATAGATTATCCAACGCTTGGCCTGATTCATGATGATATTAATATTGTTTGTAGTTCTTTGTCGCACAGAAGAATCGTATTTGTGACAGATTTTCATATCGATTAATCTAAAAAATAATTCAAATAGACATACAATACATATGTCTTAAGCTTATTTTTATAAAATGCTTACATGTCATTTGAATGTATTTTGTATTGAATATAATTTAAACTTTAAAATCATTTGACATTCTTCTCTGTCGACTCTGTCATTTAAAATAATTCACATATGGTTTTGCCTTGTTCATTTCATATAATTGCATATACTTAATAAAGACAAACACGTTTTCCTTCGAAAATATGTAGGTTAAAATTTCTCAAGCTAAAAGTCAAAATTAATCCAAAAAGAATAAATACATAACAAGGAAAATTTGAAATTGTATCGATGCAGAGGCAAGGATGTTTAATTTGAAGCAACACATATTCTGTTAATCATAATATCTGCACAGCTGTTTCGCTTCATCAGACTAAATTGTACCTAAAAATAATATTAAGATCGAGGTTTTAAACTTTGTCACAAAGATATTGACTTTTACAGTTGATCAAAATTGTTTACATTAAGTTCATTTAATGTCGACGTTTTGGCTTCTTTAAAATTGTTTTAGTTTTGTTTTTTGCTTTAGTTTTTTTATAACCTCACTTAAGCTATTTATATAGAGTGTTTCTGAAAATTCTATTTCTGGCGTCATCTGTCTTTCTGTTCATCGGTCTGTACACATTTTCGACTCCTTTTCTAGAACCACTAAGCTAATTTCAACCAAGCACAGAGCATTCATAGTAAAAGGGAATTCAAAATCGTTAAATTAAGCCTTAGGGTTTCTTCAAAATAGATAATAAAAAACGAAAAAATAGGGTCTTTTGAAATTCCTCTTCTTAAGAACTACTGGGCCAGAAAAAAGATTATCTAAAGCTTTATGATACTGTGTAGTTTCTTAATTCTTAAGATTTCTACAGATTTTTATATTATATATTTCCATGTGTAACTCTGATCCTCTAATGTGACACTCCCTTACAGCTTGAGCATGATAGGAACAAATTTAAATCGATGCTTGGATATAACAGTAATATATAGTTATTACTTACCGTTCTCGACGTATTTTTTATTGCCATTATCCTTCAGAAGCAATGATTCTGAACATGTCTTCTTGCATTGATTATAGATGCTATGTTGGTAACAATACATTTTGTACAATTCTTTTCCTTTTAGTCTCTCACACAGATGACTGTTTTTATCTACAAAATAATGAGTTTTTTAACGTGATAAAATGAATATAGTGTTAATCTGGAACAAATTCTGTTTTAATGATAATAAATTATATTACATGTATTGTGTTGTCTAAAGATTTCCAGGAAGGGTTTGTGCCATATAAGGGGATAGCTTATACAGGCCATAGACGGGGGCTGTCAATATACATGTATCAAGGAAACAATCCTGTTCCGTGTCTCACAAATGTATATCATAGTAATATTTTCAAAAAAGTGTTTCCCACGAACAGAAAGATGTTCTCCAGACAGAAAATGTACAACGGCTGATCTAAAAGTAGTGTTACAACTGCCATAAAATCTTAAATAATTGAAGGTTATCTACGAAATTCAACGTACTTATACCTCCATCTGTTTGAACAACTGTCTAAAAAATATTCAAATTTTTTTAAAATATTCAAATAAACATATCGCTATGTTTCATTTATCACCGAACGATAACAACATTACTGAATTCTTTTCGTTACTCATTTAGGCTTCATCATCAAATCTATTAAATCTTCTCACACAAGTTTTATTTAATCTACACTGCCAACTTGTGCGAGAACGTTTGCTTTGCGTTGTTTTGTTAAAATTATTTAAACTGTTCCATAGTTCATTAATTTTACATATTCATTCCGCTGCTTGAATTTCTTTCTCTGGTTCTCTTGCTCACATCAGTCCATATTCTGACCAGCTTACAAGGGTATTTTATGCAATTTTTCTATCTTTACAAAGTTTATTATTTTCATTATTATTTGTAAGCGCGTCTGACTTCAGGTCTTGATGTTTTATCTGGTGATCCTTTAAATCAATGCATTGGAGGAAAAAAGTAAGCGGACAATTGGACAATCTTGAACCTCATTGATTCTTGAATTTAAGCACGGCGAAATGAATAATGAAATGAATTTGGACAGTTCAAATAGTTTAAAAGAAAACAACTCAACGGGAGAAGATAATTTTAAAAAACATGAAGATTCGGAGGCATGTGAGAGATTTAATAGATTTATAGATTAAATAAATACCGAAAAGTAACGTCAAAAAGACGTCGATAACATTGTTGTCGTGTGGCGACAGACGAAACATAATCATGTGTTATTTTAATATATGAAATAGTATTGTACATGTATATGTCTGAATGAAAATTTTAGGCAACAGTCAAAATGGATAAAAGTGTAAATATGAAAATTTTTGTGGAAAGCTTCCAAACATTAAAGATTTTATAGCGGTTGTGACATTAGATTTGGATCAATCCTCGCACTACTTATGCAAAAAAGAAGAAAAATGCAGAAAAAAGACCCGCTACTAACGATAAAAAGATACTTGTCAGGGAAGAAAGTGTGGCACTAACCAAATCCGATGATTGAAAAACGTTGTGAAACCATAAATCATAGGCGATAAACATAATCAGGGAAGTGATATGGTTCCCTCCAAAAATAGTTAAAGAGAACCTGTATCACATCGACGAAACTGTGGCTCTTTCCAAACCTAATTAAAAAAGACTATATCATAGAAGAATATGTAGCTCCAAGCAAACAATTAAAGACACATCCACAGTAGAAATTGTGTAGAAAAATCAAAGTTGACAAAGAAACTGACATTATCACTGTATCGGGGCATAAGCGATTTTTTTTTTACATAGAGTGAGGTATGGTTTTGATCAAGACTATATGAGTGAAAGTAGGTTGATACGTAGCTCCGTCATAATCTAAGAATAAAACAGTATCAAAGAATAAAGTGTAAGAGTAAACAAACCTAAAAGAGAACCTTCATGACGTACAAGTATAGTGTCGATGTATAATAGAAACTGTACATTTTTCGAATATTGTATTCAGTTCACCCCCTACTGTCATAAAAATGTGCAGCCCAGCCAAATTTCAAGAGAGAACTGCAAGGAAGATAAGGTAGCCCTATCAAACCAGTGACAGAAAAACTGAATCTTAGAAGATGTGGTACTGTCCAAGTCTTTAAGAGAGAAACTGTATGTGTGTTCTGGCCAAGCCCAGCAGTTACTAAATTCTGAACCCAAGAGAGACATTGAGGAAAGCTAAGTGCTTTGAAACAACTTTATCAAAACGAACAGTAAGACTCAAGAGAGACATTTGTGTTGCCCCATCCAAACTTTGTGGAAAACCTTTTCCGAATAAATGGAAAAGGTCATATCTAAACCTAAAAAAGAAACTTGTAATTGAAGTAGTGTGATCATCCCCAACTTACGATGCACAATGTAATTTTAAAAAGTGTGGCGCAATGATGAGCTATGAAAGGAAATCAATCTTCAAAGGGATGTAGGTTCCCTCTTAAATTTCAGAGAGAGTATCCGGTTATAAGAAAGCCTTCTAATTCCACAGAGGGGGTATCTCACAAGGAAGATCTTTGACGATTCCGACGCTAAGGATATCAAGCTTTATGATAGAAGAACATTTGCTTTTGAATACCATAGAAAAAAATATGTATAAAAAAACGCACTTTCAGAACCCAAGGCATTGTATAAACCTAATTTTAAATTATCCTTTTTGATTTTTTTTTTTAATTTTATGAATAATTTCATGAGGCTTCAATAAAAACAAAGCTTGAAAACATGACTCTTGCATGCAACTACATATTAATACTTGCTTAATATCATTCCAAAATATATATTTTGTTAATATTTTACAATAATTATAATGATGGTTTTTGTTTAAGAACACTTGCAAGCAATCACTGAGTTTTATAATTCTATGATACACACTTTTAAATATTATCAATGGAAAATATTTTAAATTTGATTAAACTCACCAGAAACTGTTGCTGATGCAATGGTGAAGAAAAACATAAAAACAGTCAGTAAAATCGAGTAAGGCTTCATTTTGGAGAAATATCAATTCATACAAGTTTTGTGGAAGCGGTCGAAATGTTGCTCTTTGCGTTGGTGAAGAAAACTAAATAGGGAGTTCACCTGTTGGACGATTTAAATAAGAGTATAGTATCTATTGATTAATATACTTGTATGTTAACACTCCAGTAAACGCTCTGAAAACCGTGGGCAGCGGCTGGAACAAGAACACGTTTCTAATGCTTCACATAATTTTGATTGAATTCTGATGAATCTTTTGGAAGGCTATTTTCAATGTTGTCGACTTGGATCTTTGTGTTTATTACATATTCGCCAGGCCAGTGGCCTAGAAAAAGTATATTAGAATACAGAGCGGTGTATTTTTTCTAATTACACGTTTATAGAATTTCCCTCTCTTCAACTTGAATTACTCTTAAACATTGTAGTAAATTGAACAATGCTTTGATGCCTTACTTTCATTTCTGAATTTAAGTGAAAAAGAAAAAAAAAGAAAATTGTATTTTTTAAAAAAATATTTCAAAGTATTTTACCATACCCTGGTAAAGCAGTGGATACATTTAAATATTAGTGTCAAAGCTTAATGGGGGCATTGATGTTGCTATTAGCCGAGGGCAGAAATATATTGCTTACTTTGTGTTGTAAGATACTTCATATTTGCAAAGCTTTAATCGTAATTCAACGTTTAAAGTAAACATTATTTTATTTGGTCATTAAACTTATTTGATTAAAGAAAATGTAGTATATGTCAATCTCAATCTCATTAGAGATTACATATATCAGTTTTAAATACTTTTAATATTTCATCAATCAAAACTAAAATGAATTACCATACCCATACTGCATTCCCACACTTCATAAAAATCTTTAAAAACAAAAATACATAGCAGTTTCCAGTAAATGTTCTAACAAGACTCTTTCTTTACTCCTCACTAAAATATTAACAGCAGTGAAGAAAAAAAATCAGGAGTACTGTACAACAATATATCTGAGAGTGGAGAAGTGGTGTAAATCAAATGTGGCTACTTAAAAACTCAAGAAACTCTACAAGAATTTGAAATCACACAATTTTAATAAAATCAATAACATCGAAACGTACGACTTTTCAACACTTTATACAACCATTCTCCATGAGAAATTAAAATCAAGGCTTTTTGACATAAAAGACTTTTTCAATAAAAATGGAACTCGTGAATTAACTTACCTCGACATTGGTCATTTGCAGAATTAATTTGTTAAAATACATTCTGATTGTACACAAAAGTAATCTGAAGTAATTATTAAAAAGATGCTTGAGTTTCTGATTGACAATATCTATGTAGTTTTTTTTTAGAGATCTTGTCTTCCAACAATCTGTCGGAATTCTTATGGATAACAATTTGCGCTCCGTTATTAGCAGACCTATTTTTTTATTCATATGAAGCAGAATTTATTCAAAAACTTATACATAAGAAGAAGAAGACACTTGTTGCGACCTTCAACTCGACATTTAGATACATGTATATCGACGACGTATTATCACTTAACAATAGTTACCTCAATTCGTATGTTGACTCGATATATCCCAGTGAACTTGAAATAAAAGAACCACGGAGTCTGACATATCTGTTTCATATTTGGATATTTTACTAGAAAAAAAATGTCAGTGGTAACCTATAGCTAGAAATAAAACTTTATGATAAACGTGATGACGACTTTAACTTTTCCATCGTCAACTTTCCTTACTTATGTAGCAATATACCCTTTTCACCTGCATATGGAGTTTATACTTTCCAGTTGATACGATACGCAAGAGAATGCTCGACGTACGAACAATGTCTGTCTAAAACGAGGCAACCTATAGACAAACAAGTTGATGAAACAAGGATATCAAAATTGTCGTTGAAAGTCATCATTTTGGAAGTTCTATGGTCGATACAATGACCATGTCAGCAAATCCAATCTATCATTAAGTCGAATGCTGACTGACGTTTTTCAAACTAATTGTTAGGCAATTATTTAAGCACTGAGTTGTCTACGGATTTTTTTTCGATCACAATAATGAGCACATGGCGGGTGTGACGTACTGATCGACATGAGATACTTACTCCTCCATGGCACCTTTTCCCACCTCTGATGTTTTGTTAGAGGTCCCTGTTTGCTCTGATCCAGATTTGCATTGTTTCAATGGACTTTTTGAGCTTGATTGTTGTTCGTTACCTCTATATTTTATTTTGAATAAAAAGATTTATAGAAAAGGCCTAAATTACTACAAAAGACACGAAGATGTATGCATTTTCACTATAAATGGAAATTCTGTTTACTATATTAGCGTTTAAATTTTCAGAATAATAATTTAGAATTCTCGATTTATAATCGGTAAATTGTTTCGAAATATCTTTCTTTGTGAAAATGGTGCCTTTTTGCAGCAAATCATCAAATTTGCACATAAGGAGGAATATTTTTTTCAGGAACTCAAATTTCTTCATAAGAAAAAATGACTTAAATGAACTCTTTTGACTTTAGAGTAGACGTGTTACTAGTTCAAATATTTTAATGTGGGTAGAAATGCTAATGCATTCCACCAAAATAACAATTGGGACTTAGAAAATATATTCTGAAAAGGTTTTGGTCCACAGTTATGCACGTTGTGAAAGAAAAGCCAAATATCTAATAATATCTAAATATCTAAATGTTTTACTACAATACACGCTATTCTGTAGATTATTTTTAGTAAGTCGACACTCTTGAAATTCTCTCTTACCTAACTTTTTCATAATTTTCTTAGATTGTTTTTTTTTTATTTAAATGTAACATTATGATAAAGCAAACAGAATTTTCACGAAAAACATACTCAGAAGCTCAAGGTACTTATTTAACATATGTACCTGATATATATTCAAGTTCGATTTTCCCTTCAGAGATGATACTGATACGAATAATCAATACAAAATTTTTTTACTTCAATACTTCTGATTATATCTTAATTCATCACCTGAATAAGATTTTTAAAATGCATTGTATCAGAATAAATATCTGTAATATAATGCTACAGGCGCTGACAAATTTTCTATAAGGTCATACGAATTGTTATTAGTAAAGTAAAGTTGAATTACATCATCATTTTTGTTACAAAGACGACAGCTGGCGACACATTGTAATTAAAAGAGTATATATTGATAAATGTTGCACGAAGAAATGCAATGAGCGACATATGTTTAATAGATATTTAGTATGTTCAAATGATCAAATAATTGTAAAGTTGTTCATTGCAATCTCACAATACAGAGAGTAAGTTGAAATACATCAATACAGCAAGCACAAAACACCACTGAATTCGTACAAACCAACTTTTCTAAATTTATTGCTACCCCCCCCCCGCCCCCCCCGCCCCCCCCCCCCCCCGAAAAAATCTATTCATATTATCTGCTAGCTGTAAAATATGGTAGACAAAGAAAACCAATTATATGCATGATACATCAAAAGCCATTATGAACACAGATTAATAGTCCTTATTTTGATAACACTGAAAATATTGTATTGCTTTGTATACGATATATCGTGACGTGTCCCTTATTCACGCACTGTAAACTCACAAAATTTAATGTGATCGTAGGAGAAATCAATAAATTACTGTCGCAAAAGTATTCATCTAAAAAATTTCAATACAAATTTTTATACTAATTATGTGCAGATTAAATGATTCTGTACAGTTCATTCATATCATGCTAGAAACATTATATCTTTCATGGACCAATGATTATATTCTGTGAAGTCTTATCTCTCACTTCGTACCAAATGGTATCACATTGATTCAGATGGGTTAGAATTTGAAAATGAGATTGTGTGTCGATACAGAGTGATTTTTTTTCAGCCTTTTTAAAACTGCAGTAATTCTAGATCAACAGTTTAGCAATGACGATCTCTTACACTGGTTTACAAATTACTTAATCACAAGAAAAGTTAAGTAGAAAGTATAAAGATCTGCTTTCATCCAACATAAGTGTATATGCAGGTATGCCTCAAGGCTCACTTCTCGGACCTCTTTTATTTCTAATAAATATCTATGATGTTTCTGAAAATATGCTATAAATGTGTAGAGTATTTGTTGATGACAATTCATTGCAACAGGCGTCATTTAATTCTTTACATATAGAATATAGGTTAAATCATGATCTTGATGTTTTAGTTAAATGGTCCATCAAAAACAAAAAATGTATTTATTTTCCTTAAGAAATAAACCTGCTTTACTTAAACTATTTTTTCAAGACAATTTACTGGAATATGTACCACCGCATCGCCACTTAGGTCTTTTGTTTTTACAAAATCTAAGCTGTATATAAGAATATATTAATTGTATTGTAAGTGTTGCTTATAAGAAATTTGTGCTAATAAAGAAACTAAAATTTTCAATGGATAGAGAGGACCTTTCTATTTTGTTTACAACATTTGTAAGACCCATACTATTGTATTTTTTTTTAATTACCACTCGTACTAATCACATGTGGGCGAATTTAAAACGGGGAGAATTCATAGAACACAGTATAATTTCTGAAACAGAACTATGACTGGACGAATTTAAAAGGGTGAAAATTGTTCGCAATTGCGAAAATAACCCTGTATACAGTATTGGCAATCCTTATTGTTCTTGTGATAAATTGATAAATTGCGTACCATTTCTTTTTGGGTTGTAGAAGGTATCGCAATGCTAGAAATAATCTTTTCATATATCTTCTTAGACTTGATTTAGATGTCATACACCTACTACTTTGGGGCAATGAAAACCTATCACTAGAGCTGAAAAATTCCACTTTTGCCGCTGATCACAGATTTATTGTGCAATGCTGTAGTTTTAAACAGTGTATTAATAATAAGTTAATTTGTATATATTTTTGAAATTATTTTGCATGACAACTATATGTATGTGTTATATGTAAAGAGAGGAACTCGTAAGTTGTAAGAACTTGTTTTTGATCCTCTTGCTTATTTCAATAAAATATGTTCAAAAGAAAACAACAGTTTGATTTTTTTTTTATAATGCCAAAACATGTTTGAAATAGTTCATAACTCTGTGCTTGAAATTTCAAA